AAAGTGTCCGGTAAAGTGGACCCAACACTTTGGCCATGAGGGAGAGGTGTGTTTCACTTACAGAACATCTGAACCTGTAGATTAGGGCTTGATTATTTATGGAAATTTTTTGTAACCTGACAACCCAACCCAACCCAACGAGAACACTGATGGAATGGAGTAAGCCATCTTCATCTGGCCGGTATGTTCATATCTTCTATAGATAGCGATGATTTTTTTTTTTTTTTTTTTTGGGGGGGGGGGGGGGGGGAGTTGTACCCAATTTAGATTGACACATTCTGTGTAGTAGTGCCATGTTCCCTCAATATATTTGTCTTTTGAGAGCCAGAAGGTTGTTGAGACGTGATGGCTCAGTGGTCTCGCTCAGTGGTCTCATAACCAAGAGGTATCAGGTTCAAAATCAATTTGATGCGCGACTGCCCTTTAGTAAGGCATCCTCATTATCAAGTCCCGAGTATACACATGCTTTTTTATAGCAGTCAGGTAAAACAAAACAAATAAACAAACTTCAATTCATATAATATTACATGATAGCAACACCCTTCTGTCTCTCAACAGACAAGTTAAAGTGTTGTAATATGCGTTCAGAGAAAGAAAATGATAAACAAAAGAAATATCTAGATTTAATGCCTTTCTTGTCAACAAATGATATAACAATAAGGTGTTCTAATAAAGGCCACTCAAGGGAAAGAGAAAAAGTGGCCTCTTTAGGCAAGTGGCCTTATAGAGATGTGGTCACCAAGATATGTTTGACTTTATATCATATAAATTACCAGTGGTGTAAGCATTTTACAAATCCTTTTCATGAACATTTTGAAATGCATTTACTGTATTAAGAATTGTGCATTTTTTAATTTACTGTCTGATCTTTGAAGATTTGTCCAGGATATTGCAAAAAAAAATAGATAGCAGCCTTGTTAACTGTGACCCCGATTTTCTAGATATTATATTCACTTGTAGGGATTCCTCGGGATTTAGCCAGAAGGTCTTTAGATGTAACCAATATGGTATTTTTTATCAAACGGGCTTTTAGAGATTCTTAGCCAGAATCCCTTGTATCTGATGAAAAACATAATGTGTACTTTGTTTGTGAAGGGAAAGGAGGTTTTGCACTTCAATCTCTCCCTCCTTTTTCTTTCTTTCTTTCTTTGTTTTGTCATATATTCTAGCAGACTCATCCTCTTAGTTTTCTTAACTGCACACTAAACAAATGTTGTACCCCATTTTCAAGTTTTTGAAGATTGCTGGTTTAGAATAAATTTGTTGTCGATTGACAATAGCTTACAGCCAAAAATGCATTTTTTTTGTATTTCATCATTTCTTCTTCACTTGTTGATTTTTCATCAACTGCCGCAGGAATATTTTTGTTATACTAATTTTGTCATACTTTTTTTTTGGGGGGGGGGGGATTAGGGATACAAGTACAGACATGTGAACACTACTCAAATGGCTCAAAAACATAGTAAACTTGCATGCTTTCATGAATGAAATCGTACTAGCAATAGGATTTATGAGCTTGTTAATATACATGAATGTTCCTGAATGTCTCTAAAGCCAAGTAGATGTACATGCTTTCATAAATCCAGTCATACTAGGTATCGGTTAGCCTCAGGGTCTGGCTGTGCTGTTTATGCTCCTCCCGTAATGTCAACACCGTCATTCAACGGCTTGTCAATTAGGCAGAGTACGTCACTCCAATTCTGAAGCTTTGTAAGAGAGAGCCATTCCTATACCGACTGCATGCAGGAAAAACGTTAAGGCCATTCCCATGTCCAAAGCGATGGCTTGGCTTCGATATCGTTGCTTTGGGAGTAGTCTTCTTGGAAAATAACATTAGAAAGAGTAGCTATTCGTGAGGAAAATTTTCCTTCTACATTGTCCGCTGAACGCAAGAAAGCCTTTGCTGCCCTCAACCATACATACATGTAGCTATTACAGCCTTTTTGCGGATAACCACCGACATGTCTTACAAGACTTTTACAGGTCCGGCAAGACTTAATTGCGCATCCCCTGTAAAATTTGATTAGCAAACTGGCTCTAAAGCGTAGGACTTGATCACATGACATTCCTTAGGGGATGCGCTTTTAGTTGGATGCGAAAGACTGGACATGAGAAGTGATCTCCTATCTCTCGGATTGCGTGCCGATTTCTCTTTTCCAGGTGAATTAATTTCATGTCTTCAGCATTTACAGAGACCTGTGTTTTTTATGCAGCAGCGCATGTGACCCAAATTTTTTAATGAGATCGCAGACTTTAAACCAACATCAAACGTGAACGGCCATCCTTTTTTGGCAGGATCGAAAGCAGGCTCACTATAAATTTGGCACAAGCATCTGATAATTAAGAAGTTTTTGTCATTAAACGAGGAATCAATATGTGCGCAACATCTCTGTAAACAGTGGGTATTGCAAAATTTGTGCCGAATTATGTGACTCTTGGGATTAAAAATATTGAAGAAATCTAAAATTGCAAATTAAGTATGTTGCCAAGGCATGTATCATGGCTCATGAAAATGTTTATAGGAAATGTGAGAACTTTGGTGGTTGAATTATTGAAGACGTTTAGAAGCAAATTAAGTTTGTTGTAGACACAAGTTTCATGGCTCGAGCTGTAGAGTAGCACTATGACACGTAATGTTGATAGATTACTAAGTTGAAGAAAGGACAATAGTAGTAGAGGGATCTGCAAATGGATTTCCAGGTCCATTATAGGTACTATTTATCCTCTATTTATCATGTGGGTGCACTGTGTGTTTGATGGGGATAGTTATATTATGAAGATAATGTTCAGTTTTATGTCATAAACACCCACTTTTTTTTACAATTCCTTTGCTATAATGTAACTAAACATTTTTTACTTGTTATGCATCATCATCCCCTCTCTCTTCTCTCTCTCTCTCTCTCTCTCTCTCTCTCTCTCTTTCTCTCACTCTCTCTTTTCCATCTTCCATCCTCTCCTTCTCTGTCTCTATCTTCCATCACTTGCTTTCTCTGTCTGGCCTATTTCTCTCTCTCTCTCTCTCTCTCTCTCTCTTTCTCTCTCTTTCTATATCTCTATCTCTCTATCTCTATTTCTCTCTCTCTCTCTCTCTCTCTCTCTCTCTCTATCTCTTTATCTCTCTCTATATCTCTCTCTATTTTATATAAATCTGTCTTTCCATAGCTAGCTTTCCATGCTATCTCTCTCCTTCTCTGTCTCTCCTCCCACCCCCTTTCTCTCTTTCTCTGTCTCTATCCCCCTTCTTTCTCTCCATCACTTTAAATTTCCCTTGTTGATGTATTTCTTTATCCTCCACTCCCCATATTTTCAAGATATTCAAATCCTAAATTAAAACTGTCACAATAACATATCTGGACTGACCTTTTGAACGAAACCATCAGAAAATATGTTGTTTCCAACCTTCAAAAATAATGTATAATTGAGGAGTTTATTGAAATTCAGGATCTGTTGTTGAGTCCCAGAGAAATTTTCTAAATATGCTTCCTTGTAACAATGTTATGCATGATATAAATTGGTATTCATGTTTGATGTGAAGTTTGAGCAAATAGGACAGAAAGCAAATATGCGTAGTAGAATGCTTAATGATGTCAGATGACAAACAGATGTGATGTGAATAATGTAAAAAAACTGCAATAAGTGATTCAATGAGGAAATGGAGGCACAATGTCCATAATAATAAACAATAAAGAAACAAAAAATAAAAGATTTAGCAGTGAGGGGGAAGCATCTACCCCGTCTAGATTTTGTTTATATATCAAATTAATTTATAATTAATACAGTGTTTGACTCCCCACCCCCACTCCTTTTAATACAGCCCTTAAGTTCACAAACAACCATTGATGATCTCAGTTTCAATTGATCATTTCATTTTATAATCTGTTTGGAGCCAGAAGGTTGTAAAGGTTGTGTGTAAAAGATATGAAATAACGCCCCTCTGGCTCCAAACAGACTTACAATATATTTAAAAAAGACAAAACTTGCAGCGTATAATATCTCTATTTCTAATTCAGGAAGGCAAAGATCACCATTTTTTCTCCATAATTCAAGCACAACATTCACAATGTTGGGTGGAATTTCCCACCTAAGGCATAGTAAGCGTTAATGTTCGACCATAATAACATGATCTATGTGTTTGTTCCCTCCTTCAGCCCTTGTATGTTATCCTATACTGGTGCGCTCAATTTCATCCCGCGTAATGTTTATCTCTCTTGAGATTTTGTTTACAAGAAGACTATTTTTGTCCAATTCTTGCTCTTCCGTTTTCTATTTATTTTTGTTCTCATATTCAATTGTATCTCCTTAGCCCACTTGGTATTACGATTGTGTATTTATAAACCTCACCTAATCCATGACTATGCTCTCACTGTGTCTCAGTATTTGATACTTGTGTAATATAACAAGCTTTCAAATCCCTCGTCAAATCTGTTTTTGACTGGCACAGTGTCATATCTGTCTCAGTGTTTAACTTCTCGATTTCTATTTCTTTCTCTGTCTGTCTCTCTTTCCTCTGTTTTCTGTCTCTGCCCTACCCTATCTCTGTCTGTCTCTCTCTCTCCCTCTCTTGTCCCACTCTCTTTCCCATTGTTTCTCTCTTCTCTTCTCTCTCTTCCTCTTCATCTATATCTATCTTTTCTATCCCTTTATTCTTTTAACCCCCCCCCCCTTTCTGTCGCATACACTCCCATAATTTCTGACTTCTATCTTTTCTATCAAATTGAACCTCGTTTGTCTCATTTTTTGTAATCTTCTTATCACACAGAATATGCCTAACATCTCTACAGCTTATGCCTCTAACCACAAATTCTATTTCATTATTTGTTTTATTGATTTAGCTGTTTTGTTCTTGGTTTCATTTTTTCTAATGTCATAGTGTCTTTCTTTCCCTTTTTCCCTTTTTCTTCTTTAAGTTATTCTCACATGCTGTGATGTGCAGCCTTTTTCTAGTATCCCTGAAATTTCACATAACACCATGTATCTTTTCTTTTGTTCATCATCCACAGGTATCCTTAGTGCTCCAACTCTCCTCCTTATCACCAACACACACACACACAAGTCATCTCTGTTCTGATTGGACAGCCAGTATCATACAAGCCTCCTGATTGGTCAAAAAACAACTCTGAGCCTGGAGCACATGCATATCAGAGCAACAGCCAGCCAACGATCTCTCCGCCAATAAATCCTACCCTGCCTGCAATCAAATCTGCCTCTCAGCTCAGACTTGCTTGACACTTCTAGGGGGAAAAGAAAGAAAATCGTACAGCTGTCCGTTTAGCCCCAATGCAAGGAGTCTGAAATGCGATCCTACCCTTGAGAAGGATTTGGCAAATGTCGCGTGGCTGCCACGCTGGTGTATGAGTCGCCCCCGACGATGACATGAAGCAGTGAAAAGTTTCATTCAACTAGTAAAGGTCACAGCTCTCCGATCAACAACTGCGCAGATGAGGCTGAGATAAGACGGACGGCACGTTTTTGATCCGGAACGAGTGTTACGCACGGAAGAAATTGCTCATATCGATGATGAGGGTTGAGTAACGTGAGTTGACTGCTCTGGTTTGATTGAATATTGCTTCAGCAGCAGCGACGAGAAGTGGATGTGCTGCAGAACCGCCGGAGGAAGTCTTCTGCATTGCTACGGGCCGTGCAGCTAATCTCGTTAAGAGAGATATTAATGAATTGGATTGGCAGAAGCATGGGAAATTATTGAAAATTCCTTGTGATGGTGGAAAATTGTATTACCCTGTTTTTCTCTTTTTAACCTGGAGCTCTGTAAATGATATGCAGATTTGATTTGATGAAGGATTGCTTCAACCTGGAGCAAGAATTTAAAATTTTGTGATATTTTTTTTCCTGGAAATTTTTATTCAAAAGAGGATCAGTTAGGAAGATATCGAGGGAAAGAAATGTGCTTTTTGAGGAATATTACAAAGAGGATTACCATGCTCTACTGAAGAGGATTCATCAAGTTTGTCAGCACAGCAATCGCGTCATCAATGCAACCATCCAAATGCGGGGTGATGATTAGCAGTTTATTAATGGCTTTCTATTTTGATTCATTGCTATCGAGAAATAATTAGATAAAGTGGAAGGATAAATAGAGAGGTTGCCAATTTGATGTATAGCCCTCATCTTGTAAGGATTCTCCGTGTCACAATGGCGCGATCCACAAAAGTACACACAGTGGTAACTGTCTTTGTCACAGCCACAATCACATACATGTTGATGCATTCAAACTGTGGGGACACGACGGAGAATGTGCGAATGGTGCCCGTCGAACCTCACATCCTTTACGACGACGCAAACAACGAATATACATACCACCGGGAAATGCCTCTCATATTCATAGGCGGTATGCCGCGGAGCGGAACGACTCTCATGCGTGCAATGTTGGACGCCCACGACGACGTGCGATGCGGGGAGGAAACCCGCGTTATACCGCGGATACTGAGCATGCGAGCTCAGTGGATACGCTCTTCCAAAGAACACGCGAGGCTGCTCGAAGCAGGACTCACTGACGATGTCGTCGACGACGCCATCTCGGCGTTCATGCTCGAGATCATCGCGAAGCACGGGGCTCCGGCCCCGCGGTTATGCAATAAAGACCCCTTTGTCCTCAAATCTATGTTATACCTTCATAAAGTGTTTCCAAATGGGAAATATCTTCTCATGATTCGCGACGGGCGAGCGACGGTGCATTCCATCATCTCGCGGAAAGTGACGATAACGGGATTCGACATTACAAACTATAGGGACTGCCTGAAGAAATGGAATCAGGCCGTTGAGAGTATGTACGACCAGTGCCTGAGAGTAGGAAAGCAGTACTGTCTGCCAGTCTTTTATGAGCAGCTCGTCCTCCACCCTAAGGAATGGATGGAGAAGATCCTCACATTCCTGGATCTGCCCTGGGACGAAGCAGTCATGCATCACGAGGAACACATAGGAAAACCAGGTGGCATCTCGTTGTCAAGGTAACAGGATGCTTTCATTATTTAAGGGTATGAAGGGAGGGGGGTGGGTGGTTTTTGTGTTTCAAGGGGCACATTTGAAAATTGACTGGGCATGTAGTTAACCTGGTGGCATCTCACTGTCAAGGTAACATGGTATTTTCATCATTCAAGTGTATGGAGGGAGGATTAAGGGGGAATTGTTTTTGTGTTTCAAGGGGCACATTTGAAAATTGAGTGGGCATGTAGTTATCAAGGTAACATTAAGGGTGGGATGGGCTTGGTGCTTCCGTGTGTTTTATTGAAGAGCACATTTAGGAAATCTGGTGGTATCACGTTGTCAAAGTAACAGGATGCTTTCACTTTTTAAGAGAATTGAGGGAGGATGGAAGGGATATACAGTGTAAGTTTGTTTTTAGGAGCATATTATGGAATCTAGCACTCGTTTCATTGTCAAGGTAACATATATTTAAAAAGGAATAGAAGGTGTAGGGATGGGTTTTTGTGTTTAAGAGGGCACATTTTAGAAATTAAGTGGGCATGTAGTTGTTACAATAACATAATCATGTCACTCATCATTCTAATCGTAGAGAGGGAGGAATTGGGGAGGATGGGATGTTGTTTCTGTGTTTTGAGGAACACATCAGGAAAACTAAGTGGCTTCTTGTTGTTACGGCACAGGATGCTTTCAATCAATATTAAAGGGATGAGCGGGAAGGGATGAGATGGTTTGTGTTTTTTAAAGCACACTGGGACACCTGATGGCATTTCCTTGTTAAGGTTTCCTTGTTAAGATTAGGGAAAGAGAAGAAAGAGAGGGAAAATGAAAGTGCTTTAAGTGGTGTGTTTCTAAGAAGCATATTTTAAAATGTGATGGCATCTTGTTAGGGTAAAGTAATTCTTTCATCCGTTATTAAAGGGAAGAAGTGGGAAATTTAAGGGTTGGGGTTGTTGTTCGGTGATTCAAGGAGTGCATTGGAAAACTTAATGACATGATGAAACTTAATATCATGGTATTAAACAGGATGCTTATTCTCATTGTCCAAGAGAGGTGGATTGTAAGGGGTTGGTTGGTATTTCTGTGATTCAAGGAATGGATTCAGGAACCTGATAGCACCTCTGATGTCGTCATGGAAACAGGATGCTTCAAAACAATTAAATACAGGATATTCTGTGGTAGAATTAAATGTGCAGAATTTAAAGTTAGGATTGCAGGCCTTACCAATGATTGTTTAAAGGTAAAGACCAGTTATGGTCATGCGATTGCATTGTGAAAGAAACGTTGTGGAATCGATCAAAAAAGGTTGATCATCTAGCCTCTAGCATCTGCAAGGTTCTGGAATCATCAAAATGATAAGAAATTTGGCCCATTCTTCGTAAAGTTACAAGCACTATACACAGAAATATGTATATGGGACTACCCTATATCTCTCACAGACCATGAGAGAAACAAATTTACCAAATATATGAATTAGTAGGCGGTTTCCCGGCAAATTTTTTATCATCATGTATTAGTCAAAACATATTCTTTCACATGATTGGTAATGAGAGCTTCCATTTCATTTTTTTAAATTGGGGCGTTACCAATACTGGTCTTTACCTTTAATACTCCTATCTCTGTCCTAATCACCCCCAAACTAGGAAATCAGAAAGATAAACCCACTGGTGATTGAAGTATACATACTTTTAAAAAATTGCTAATAATTCCACAAACATATTTTCTATGTTTCTTGAATTTTTTTATAGCAGACGTTTATAGTTTGGGTGAGGGTTAAAATATTTTATAAAAGGACTGAAAAAATTCTAGTGATTCTATAAAATACAATATCTTCTAAAAAGTCTGACATATAGCCTAATAAATTTGCACAATATATATATATACAAAGCTCTTGGTAGAATTTAATAAGTATTTTGTACTTCGTGTTCAACCCCTTGTTAGTTAAATGTTCTTTTTTTCTGGTGTATTTCATAAGAAAAAGGGAGTTGTCCATTGAAGTATACATGTACTGATATAAAGCAGCTTATATACCACTCAGCGTTGTGTCATAAGTGGAGTTAGGTGGATGCCATTTGAAGCAGAACTTCAATTTCTGGTGTAGTTCATAAGGAGAAGGGATCGTCCATTCAAGTATACTGATATAAATCAGCTTATAATACATATCACTTGGCATTGTGTTGTAAGTGGGGTTTAAGGTGGATGCCATTTGAAGCAGAAATTCAATTTGTAGCTCACGAGTATGTCTTGTTTGATCCGCAAGACATTGAGCAGACGAACCCATATCGCAATTCAATTATACCAATCGGATTACACCGATGATAGCACAATCGTCAGATATGACATGGTATAAGAGTTCTGTGAGAGCAATGCATCAATGATTAGTTTATCCATGGACCTGGTTTAACTGTCGTGTTTGTAAACTCAGAAGGATTATTGAATTGATGCTTGTTCTCTCTGCCAAGGGAATTAAGAAAGGTCAGGAAAATATCAGGTTTTGCAAAAGTGTTCTGTAGTTTACATGTTCTTAAATAATAGTTTGAGAGTTTTTCTTAGAGATATATCATCTTAGAATGTGGAGGAAATGAGATGGAGAAATGAAGTGCTTGGCGTAGGATTGAATCACTTGGAGTCGCACTTGTAGAAATGAATGGGTCACTAAACCTGTCATTTCGTGGATCAGCATTGGTGTTGAGTTTAAAGATCATGTTCAGTGTTAGTAGCAGTCAATAAGATTTTTTTTTAAAGGTTTTCTTAATTTTCTGGTTCTCTGAACCACTTGTGGGGGGGGGGGAGAAAACTGCTGAAAATGAGCTTTGCCTAGGAAAGACAATGCTTTTAGAAATCACCCTTAAAGAAATGATTTTTTTTTTCCTTGTTTTTTAAAGGAGTTACGAATCACTCCAGCATTTCTCATGTTGGGCCAACTTTGCTCAATGGCTTGTCAAGGATGAAATTGTTTTGGAACTTACAATTTACAGGAAAGCTTCTATTTATGTTGATGAATAGTAAAGTAATGATAAAATAGGAAATTTCCTAAGTAGAGAATAATTATTTTTCCAACATAACTTATCCTTGCTGAAAAATTTTTTGATAGAAATTTTTACAGTATAACTCTCAACTTCTTACTTAAAGGTAATGCAAAGTTTTGAAAATTGGATGGATAGTAATTCTTTAAAATGTTGATATATTCAGATGCCCCTGTGTATGTATTATAAGCACTAGAAAATGTAGCCTCTAAAACACTTCTGTTTTTGAGATATTGAATAATCAAAAATTTACTGGTGCTCCTGGTAAATTTCAAATATTGTAAATAGCTCCTAAGGCCATTCTTGGTAGCTGCGACCATGAAAATCTCAGAATATGCAGTTCTGACATATAATTTCCAAACGGGAATAGCAAAATCGGCCGATTGTAGTAAAGAAACATTGTTTTAAGTCTAAAGTAATATCAGTCTTGAGAGGGCGCTATACAACATAAAGAGTTTATTATTTACAATTTCATCACTTTAGACTCAATTTCAACCGCAACAGCGATCATTGAACATTGTAAAATCGCATATATGCTTCCAATATGTTCATTTGAACCAAATTCATGATCCCATACTAAAACTTTGTATTACCTTTAATTAATCCAAAAAAGTGAACTATATTAAGTCACCATCTCAATCATCCCCTTTGCAGTTAAAGAAAAATAACTTTCAGGATTAGGATTAACAGATATTGACAGATCACTATGAATATATAAGGACAAAATGAGCACATATCATTCTTTTTTAAAACATTTAAAAGCAATGCTGAGAGTCATAAGTGCATGAACTCTTGTCTTTTAATGCAAAATATAAAGCCTTTATGGCTTTTACAGATGTTGTGAAATTAGTGTAGAAGAAAATACATATTAAGATTTACATAAACTATTTGTAAAATCATCTCAATCTTATTTGCTTCGTAACTTTATAAAGGATTTTGTGATAAAAATGTGATTGCCATATTTGTAAGGCTGATGGATATGCTAACTCTTAAAAGAGTTTAGGAATCCTAAAGCTTATATGCAAGCACTTCATTTATATTCATGGAAAATATAAAAGGGATTAGAACACATCAATCAAACAGCTTTTCCAAAGGAGTGATTGCAGACACTTTGATGCTACAAATGCATTATTTTAAAAGGAAAAGGGAGTCGCATCTTACAATTTAAGACTTGGGAGATCTTGTCGGAGAGTAGAATCTATTCTGAATTAAGAGAAAAAGATTGGGAAATGGAGAGATTAAGATGAAAAGATGTCCTGTTTATTTAAAACTGTTGGCGTGTTTAAAGGGTGTTTTCCTTCTTCTGTTTTTAATCCATGTAGTGCTATAGATTTCACAAACATACATAATTTTCATGAAAGAAGTTTTCAATCATTGTGCCACTCTCCGAGATCATGTTTGACACAAAGATTGATCATGCCTTCTGTTCAGAGCCAGAAGGGCATTAACTCTGTGGTGTTAAAGGGTAAAAGTTAACGCCCTTCTGGCTCCAAACAGACGGTTTTAATTGATGGTCTGACATTTTACACCAGTGACCACCAGTAAAAAAAAAAAAAATTAATTTAATTTTTTTTTTAAATACTTTGGTTGCAATTTGATTAAGTATAGGTTAAGGATTAATAAGATGAGGTTTAAGATTACAGTTAGGTTAAGTGTTTGTTCCAGGGGTTGAAGTTGATACTAATGACCTCAAATATCCACAGAACTTTTAAATATGGAGAAGTTGCACATTATGCATCTTGAATATCCGCTGCCAAAGTGATGGAAGTGCTTCAGGAGCACATTTCCTTTTACCCTCTTGAAAATAATACTTTCACACGTGTTTCACAGAATGTACCCTTGGTGCATTTATGAATAATGATTGTATAAATTTCATGAACTTTTATCCAGCAGTCATCCCCATGGATTTTATGGTTTTTGTTCAAATGACCTTTATCTACCCTTGCACAGGTAGTATCTGCAGCAAAAACTTTCTTTTCTTGAAAATTTCGCTGCCTCTA